TAATTTAATTTTTAGATATAATTTAATACAATAAGATATAATTTAATTTTTTATAGATAAGTAGCTCTGCTTTACCTGGGACGACGCGATACGTGACAAGTCGCATTATTTTAATTAAAGATATGATTGCTATTCCTTTCATTATATTGTTAAATGTGATGCAGAAAGCTTTGTTATTTTATGACTTTCATCATTAAACATTATAAGAGTTATTCTAACTGTAAATTACACACAGTTGGTTTTCTGTTTACTACTTGAACTTTTCCTAAAAACTGTGTGATAAGTCCTTAACATTAGCCGTCATGCATGCGATAACCATATGAATCGAATAATAAGAAAAAGTAATTTCCTGTAAATCTTAGAAATTCAGAGAACAAACATTCCTTTGAATTAAGTCCCTAAACTATATTAGCTATAGACATTTGATGTTGATTAGACAAATACTTTTATAAATTTTATTTGTAGGTTTTTGTCGTTATAAAATTTATAAATTTATTCGAGAAGTTCGACTACTTTGCAATACTTGGCTGCTTTACAGGGATAGATGATTTACAGAGAGGCCATACAGAGAGGCTTAACAGGGAAAAAAGAAGGAAAAATCCAGACGACAATTTGTTTTGGCTGAAGAAGACATCAATATTAAACCTTTCAAGTAGGTCTCGACCTAATATTCCCTCATAGGGATTTGTGATAGAGGGCTCNTCCAAAATGGACAATAAGAAAAACGTCTAATGAAATTAATAAATCGTTTCATTATTTCCTATGAAAAACTATGTGTAAATAATATAAACACATAAGCTTTAAAAAAGTATTTACATCTTAATGTGTTCAATTTATAATAAGGTAAAACTGAAATACCATCTAGTGTTCAATGTGGGAAGAATTTAGTATTTATATAACAAGTAAACCGGTAAAACTAAAGAAATAAAAGTTGCTAAAATATAGAAAAATTTGCAAACAAAAATGCAATACACTTGAAAACTTTAAAGAATAAAAGGTATGAAATGCTTCTCTGTACGTTTATCAGGTGAGCCTACCTCATAGATAAAGTTATATAAATAAAAAATGAAAGAAATTAAATATAAAACTGAAACAATATTTTTGGAGTTAAATCAAATATATATTTTAAAAAATTGTTTTTTTACTGAAACTTGAATCTGAGTTTTTTCCACTTTCTTACTTTATTAAAAGTACAAAAAGTCAGTGGTTTACATATGATTTGAAGTACCATTTTACTACTTGTTAATTTTTGTAAATTTATAACATTTGTCCATATAAAAAGAACTACTTTAGTAAATGAAGTTTATATATTAACTTCCATCAAATAAAAAAAAAATAGAAAAATATTCCCATTACATGTGCATATAATTAACGTAATTTAGAAAAACCAGTCAGACAAGTTTTCTAAGGAAAAATTTTTTTATCTATTGAATAAAATGTGATTTTTTTTTAATGCCGAATTAACTACAGTTTGGTGTTCGTATTCACATGTTATAAACACGTACCGATAATCATTATCGAAAACGTAACTAAAATAACATTAAAATAATTTTAAGTGTTATTTAAATTCGCATAGTCTTCTCCTGATTTAGTTTTATTTTTATAGTTCGATTTATAAATTTAAAAAATGATTAGTTTACTTTGGAAAACCCGTAGAAATTATTCGTGGATTGGCCAGGGCGAAAGCTTGCCCAATGAAAAGTTGGCTTCTTAGAAAATTAGACAATATGCTAAAAATGTACACGATCCTTAAGTAGCTTAAAAATTTAAATTAATAGAAGCTCTAATATTATTATTATATTATAAAATTTATGCTGTATTAATCTAACGAAATCAATTTTCGTGGATACTTTATATTTTATTTAAAAATTCTTAGAAAAGGACACTTCAATAAATTTAGATACTAAAATGATAACCTGGCAGTCATTTGCAAGCAACATTTCCCGACATATCGTGAGCCTCTCATTACTGTATTTACTAATCGAATAATATTAATCGATCTTTTGTAAGAGATTTTATCGTCCTACTGAGTGAAGTACAGAAAACAATATTCTAGCACATCTTAACGAATTGACAAAAACTTACAACTTTCTCTACACCTGAACCTCGGTTAGAATAACAGATCTAGGGCATACAGTCAAACGACCTGCTTGCCTTTTTAGTCAGACACCCGTGACAATAAGTATAGGTTTCAAAAATGAAGTTGTAAAAACTACAGCCCTGCATTGTCACAATGCCGTGCTGCAATTTTTTTTTATCATATTTTTAATTTACTTCATTTAAAATACATGGTATACGCCTGAAATTAGTTGTGGCTGACCCCAGTACGTCATGTTTTCTTTACCAATTGAGTCATGCCAGTGATGTATCTAATAACGTTCAAGAGAAAATATATGAATTGAAATTACGTGACTTCCAGTTGGCATCGAAAGCTCCAATATAGTTAAACGGAGCCTTCTGCTCCTGAGAATTCCAATCCTGATCGCGAGTTTTAAATGGATATTCTGCAAAAAGAAAAAGGTATCTTTGAACAAAAATTCGATAAAGGTATAGAGAAAGGTACTGAGAAAAATAATCGAAGTGGCAAAAAACCTACCTAAAGCTGGCTTTAAGTAGGTTTTTTGCCACTATGCTACAACTATCTATCACCGCTCTCGAGATAAAGGAGAGAGAGAGAGAGAAACTCAGACAGACCACATGTCGTCTGTCTGAGTTTCTCTCTCTCTTTCTCTCTCCCTTGTACCCCTATAAATTGTACCCCTATGAATTCTCACTGTCGCGACAGTGGGAATTTATAGGGGTACAATTTTTTTTTAAAATTGCAGTAGAATCACATATTTGAAGCGGGAAGTGACTACATATTTTTTAAAGTATGACTACGTATTTTTATCAGGGTTATTTATCAAGCTAACTGATCTTATCTGATAAAAAAAACATTGAAAGATTTTATATAAACAACACTTTTACAATTACTCTTCGACCTATTTAAGCAACACGAAATTTATAAATGAATTTATAACAAGTGATTCTTTTTATCACTTAAATAAACTTCACAAATAAACCAGACGGCTTTACGCACTTGAATGTACTTTATAATGATGATGTTGTTTCAAAAACTGTGTCGAGAATAACCGTAATCAATATACTTAACTTCATCATATATTTAGTGAATTAAATAAAAATTATGTAAAGAATGTTTCTATATGAGATGAATGTTTCTATATGAGAAATTAAGAGATACAAGAAATAATGCAAACATTATCAAAAATTCGACAATTTACATGTCGAAGGCGTAAGTTTCTATCTTTATATAATTTAAAAGATTTTCCATAATTTTATAAAATAAATGCCCGAATAATGTTACAAAATGAACGAAAACTTTACAAGTTGGCCAGTTTGCAAGTTGGCCAGTTTATAATTGGATTAGCGGAAATTATGAAGATGTGTCGTGCAATATTAAAAGATAATAAACTCTACACTGATCGTGAAAGAAAACGCTTGTTTCTCCAATTACAAACGTAAAACTTGAAACTTGAACTAAGTGAAAGTTGATATGTTTATTTCTTTGCTTTTTCGAATATAATTACAACAAAATAAATATAAAAAGACGTTGAAACGAAGAAAACTGATTGAAATAAAAGATATAATTGTAATTTTTCCTAAATTATTACCGTAACTTTATTTTAAAGTTATAAAACTTTAAAATAAAAAACGCTAAAATAAAATGCTATATAAGCAAGGATAAATAAGTGATTCTCGATTAGTTTTATCGAGTAAAACAGTACATGCATTCGTAAATTTAAATTACTTTTTCTGTACTATATTAAAAACTAAAATTTATTTGTTTGTAAGCTTAAAATAGATTCTTATTAACCATATATTATTAAAAATGCATTAATAAATAAAATACAGAACGGGAATTGGTAATTTATGGTTTAGCCTAGTGGCAAGTAGATTCGGAGACAAGTAAATTTGACTTGTGTCGTTTTTTGACTTAAGTTGTTCTCCTGGAACCAATTATTGACGTAAGGCGAGGTATACCTGTATTGATTCAATTTCTACACTCTCAGACATTCATACATTAGTTTATGCTGGGGCAGTCATAGTAGTGACACGCCATGGACTGAAAATACAATCGCAGACAGATACAGACAAAACACAATTCTATCACAAGCCTGTCTGGCAGAGAAGAATAGAAACTCAAATAAATGACATTAGACAGCAATTAGGCAGATTGACACAATACACTAAAAACAACATAACATCCAAATTAAGAAACAACTCAAAAACATTTTCAAGAAAATCAAAACATGAAGAACACATATATTACAGAATACATTGATACATTCAGTGTTCCTATGCACCTGGAAAGGCAGGGATTCACATTAGTGTTCCAAAAAAGTCATAGAAAGTCAGGGATTTGTTAAAAATTGTCAAAAAGTCGGGGAATCAGGATTTGTTTCCTTGGTTGCCTTGTTGATTTTGTTTGCTGATAACATGACTAACCAAGTGTGGCTGTCTGCAGGTAGCAATAAGTATTGTAGTATAATGCAACTTATGAAAAGGGAGTGCAGAATAATTTCAGGATCCAAAATTTCACCAAAACATACACAAAATTTTCCCCAAAATTATAGCACACAAAATATACAGGCATACAACAATATCAAATGTTAGTTTTAAATTTTAAAATACTTTCAGATTTTAAACTGCTTTATTAGTTATGCAGTATTATAAGTTTGAGAGAAAAATCTAATACAGTAGAGCCTCGAAAACTCGGCACTCGATAACCCTGCACTCCAGATAACTCGGCCACACCCTGGCAGGGCAAAAAAGTCCTTAGTTAATTAATTTTCATTATAGACAGCTTTATGCCTCATAAAGTATTTTTCTGAGGTCTGTCTTATCAAGTAAATTACTGTACACAGTGTATTCATTAATTTTCATTTTCATGTAGTAAAGGCTCTATGCCTTCANATTTTCACATTTTCACTTTGCGGTCCTTCTCTGTTCTTTTTCCATTATTTACATGTGTATATCATTTCATTGTTATCCACATTTGATATCATCACTTATCACATACTGCCATGATGCTTATGTCTGTCCGCTACAACTGTTAAGAATTAACACAATTGGCAAAGCATAGTGACAGTGGGCCAATACACAGCAAGGTGCCCAATCCTTGCCATAATGCAGTTTGCGTGCCAATTTTCATACATGTGTTAATCAAGCCGAATAGTTTGGCTGAATATTTGGTATTTTGCCTGAGGCCAAATATACTATTCTTTGCATCATTAGTAATAATACATTTAAACAATTAATTAAAAAAAAAATTCTGATTTATTATAAAACTTTAAAAATGCTTAAATTACCTTTACCTTCTATCATTTGCTTGTAGTTTACGCAGTCTTTTGACAAAGTCTACAAATTTCATATCGAAACGTTCCGTCGGTGCAGTGAAATCCAAACAGTGCTCCTGAATTTTTGTATCATCGTAGTATTTAAACTTATGATTTTTTGATATATACACAGTGAAAGAACCATCCCCTAAATTTTTTTGTAGATAATCCAAATTCCATTTTAATGCAGAACTAACAAGATTTGTATCCGTTAACACCACAGGTTTCTGTAAAATAATTATAGTTATTAAGAATCAACATTTATATCAAATATTAAAGATATAATCATTTAAAAAATTTTAAATTAGTCTGATAATCATAGTCTTAAAACCTAAATGAATAACAAATTTTATCCAAATGTAGTAAAATCTCACTAATTCAAACTTCTCTATAGTCTGTCTATTGAATGAATCAACTTGTGTTTTAGCCAATGAGCATTCAGCCATTGATTGCTTAGTTGTGGAAGGTTACTTATAGATTCTTCCTTATTTGTTAAACATGTCACTGCCATTATAAACAGTGTTATGAAAACTTTATATTATAGTATTAGAATACAAGGAAATTCACTGTAATAGTTGTTAAATGTATGATTCTTTACAATTAATACATACTATAAAAAAATTAACACAATTAATGGAAAAGTCATTCTGCCATCTAGTGAGAGAAAATAAAATTCACACACTACCTGACATACTAAGCAAAAAATGCTGACATCATTAAAGAATGTGTTGACTGATTTAACTGAAGTAACATCATGCATGACATTGCTCTCAAGTTGATTCTTTCCATAGACAGACTAATTCTGATTGTATTGTATACTTTTTAAAAAATGAATTTGCCAATTCTAATGCAGGCATTAATAACTATTACCTTAACTTATGCATCAAGATGTAATCATGGAACAGTTAGAAAGGAATTGCAAACAACAATTAGCTCTTTTTAAGTCTAAATCAGTAAAGGTTGACAGTGGCAAGAATGATGATGCTGCTGCTGCTACTACTACTACTACTACTACAATCAATCAATCAATCAATCATTTTTAACTGTACAAACAAAGTACAGACCAACCCCACTGTTCATGAATTACCAGTTATACACATTCAGTTTACAATACACAGGAGAAATGAAGTACACTTGCATAAATGATGGATCTGAATATACATACATACAAATACATAAAGAAAATTTAAATATGATAAATAAATAAAATAAATAAATCAATGCATATATAAGGTAATAATTACATCAAGTATAACAACTATCTGATATAAATACAAACTTAAACCTAACTATATACATAATAAGCAAGATTACAAATAGATATGTTTATCATAGAAAGTAAGAATACAATTAATTAGGATATAGAGTACAATAGGTACATATAGTAGCATCTTGCCATGTTGAGGCTGGCAAACAAAAATACAGTTATAATTGATACATCAAAATGTGCAAAATGTTCACAAAATAGATGTCCAAATAGTGAAATGTAATTATCCATTAGATATGTATTGCAAAAGTTCAAAAGCTGCAAGGCAAACACAAAGTAATATTGCAGTTGCACATTTGCACAGTTGCAGAAACAAATGTGTCATTGATATTTACCTAAATATTAGATATAAAGAGTAGTGATCAATCTCCAGAGTAGTTAATTTATATAGTCAATTCTGTTCATATATTTTGTCCGTTCTCTGAGGTATGTTGGACACATTTTATCCATAGTATTGTGATTGTATTGCATTCTTTTTTTCTTTGAGACAGTTGACACATTTCGGTGTATCATTCTTCTTGGTACAGTTTTTAAAAAGATGGTTTTCACCACAGTGACTACAAGTTTGCACTGTAAAAGTACAATTCCTGGCAAAATGTCCAAAAGATAGACATTTATAACACTGAATCGTGGGGATATAGTCATACACTTGACAGGTTGACCAATGAATGTGAACATTTACTTCTTTAACAAGCTTTTCCCTTATTTCAGGTTTCACTTCAAAAACCCAAGAGAGGTAGTTTTCATTCTTTTGTTTGAGAGGAAATCTTACAGTAATTTTTTCAGCAAACATTTTATCAGTATAGTCTCGTAGAAAACATACATTTTGTTCATAAATATCTTTTATTAATTCATCTTTCATCACTGTTTTAGGAATGGATACAATTTTCATTAGTGGAAGTCGTGTTTTCGGTAAGCGTGAGGTAAGACCAGGAACTTGTTCTACAGACTCTTTAAAATATTTGACTTCATTGTGATCATTTAAGTCAACAGCGACTCCTCTGCTTTTCAGTTTCTGTATTCTATTTACCCCTACACCAAGTATATGTGGTTTCGTATGGCTTATTAGAAAATTTTTAGTTTGCTCTGAGGTAACACCCTTTTGTTCACTATAAACTAAAACTGTATGGGTAGGTGGTGGTGGTTCGCTTGCATTCAAGATTGGTTTAATACCTTTTTCAAAATATCCCTATAACAAAGGTTGCTATCTTTCTTTACACCAGATAGATCAGCAAAGTTATTCTTGTCTAGATTATTTGCAGTTTGTTGTATACCCGTTAAGATTTCCATAGATTTATCATTATAGTCATTCCTCTGTTTTTCCAAGTCAACTCTGGTGGTAAGTAGAGAAAATTTCTTATCGAGATATTCCATTATGCTATTTTTCTTTATGACTGTTTCAGCCAATTGTATTACACGGGTAAATTGTGTCAAAATGTACGAAGAATGGCACGCAACCCGAAGTTTACCATTTGGATTTTCTAAAGAATACTTTTTAATTTATGATGCCGTAGGCATTGTCATGAAAAGATTGCAATTCAGATTCCATACCGATCAAATGAGATAACAGTATTAATTATAATAAGATAATATAATAAGTACAGTGGTAACTCAGGATACGAACGCCCCAGCATGTGAAATTTTCAGGATATGACACGAAATTCAAACATATTTTTGCTTCACGATACGAACAAAAACTGACCATACAATGTTACATTAGTTTGCTGCGCCATTTTTTATTCACTTCTGTTCATTGGTCTCAGTCCGTGTGTTTGCTTCGTTGTGGAAGGATCTCGCTCGATAAAGGAAATTATGAGGTATTATCAGAAAGTGACTGATTTTATTGAAAAGAAACATCCCGNTCACTAGAAAAGTGTTAGAAGCACATAAAATCATGTTACTATACAATAAATAAGAATAAAAGTATATAAAATTATATTAAAAAAGATACATTTACAGTAAATGTTAATACTGTACATCATAAATCCTAGAGAATGAAATATGAAAACAGCTGTGATTCTGTGTTGTCGTCTTATTTAGCAGTCTTTATTGGTAAATTTAACATAAATTAGTTTATTTTCTACTATTGCAAAATAATTTTAATTACTGTATTTGTTATTTAACCTTAGAAAATCATTTTATTTTATGTCTTAGAGCAAACCACATTAACAAATAGAGTCTGCAGTGTACCGTAAACATTGCCAAATTGTAACATGTATATTTACAAGTATGTTCGTACTGTACATGTATTTGTAAATTTAGATAAATTTTAGTTTTTAATATAGTACAGGAAAAAAATAAATATGTTTGTAAGCTTAAAATAGATTCTTATTAACCATATATTAAAAGTGCATTTATAAATAAAATACAGAACTGGGAATGGTTATTTGTGGTTTAGCCTAGTGACGAATAAATTCGACTTACATCTTTTTTCGACTTAAGTCGCCTCTTGGAACCAATTGCTGATGTAAGCTTAATATTCCAAGAATAAAATATGATAAAAAATTCTAATACCTTCCCTTTTGTCATATTTTTTCACATATAAATACTATAAAATACAGTATATAAAAATCATAAAACAGTTTGAAACATTTGAAAAATTTTGAGAAATGACTTGATGCCAGTGTTTCCAATTAAATACTACTTACTTTAAATAAATACTACTTACTTTAAATATTTTGGTGGTAGTTTGCTTATTCCTGTATTTAGTAATTTTATATGTAAAAAAAAACTTTGCAAACCTCTGTCACCTGTAGATGAGTCTGGAAATTGATGGGTTAAGAGAAATAAACAGANGACCAATGAATGTGAACATTTACTTCTTTAACAAGCTTTTCCCTTATTTCAGGTTTCACTTCAAAAACCCAAGAGAGGTAGTTTTCATTCTTTTGTTTGAGAGGAAATCTTACAGTAATTTTTTCAGCAAACATTTTATCAGTATAGTCTCGTAGAAAACATACATTTTGTTCATAAATATCTTTTATTAATTCATCTTTCATCACTGTTTTAGGAATGGATACAATTTTCATTAGTGGAAGTCGTGTTTTCGGTAAGCGTGAGGTAAGACCAGGAACTTGTTCTACAGACTCTTTAAAATATTTGACTTCATCGTGATCATTTAAGTCAACAGCGACTCCTCTGCTTTTCAGTTTCTGTATTCTATTTACCCCTACACCAAGTATATGTGGTTTCGTATGGCTTATTAGAAAATTTTTAGTTTGCTCTGAGGTAACACCCTTTTGTTCACTATAAACTAAAACTGTATGGGTAGGTGGTGGTGGTTCGCTTGCATTCAAGATTGGTTTAATACCTTTTTCAAAATATCCCTATAACAAAGGTTGCTATCTTTCTTTACACCAGATAGATCAGCAAAGTTATTCTTGTCTAGATTATTTGCAGTTTGTTGTATACCCGTTAAGATTTCCATAGATTTATCATTATAGTCATTCCTCTGTTTTTCCAAGTCAACTCTGGTGGTAAGTAGAGAAAATTTCTTATCGAGATATTCCATTATGCTATTTTTCTTTATGACTGTTTCAGCCAATTGTATTACACGGGTAAATTGTGTCAAAATGTACGAAGAATGGCACGCAACCCGAAGTTTACCATTTGGATTTTCTAAAGAATACTTTTTAATTTATGATGCCGTAGGCATTGTCATGAAAAGATTGCAATTCAGATTCCATACCGATCAAATGAGATAACAGTATTAATTATAATAAGTATAAATAAAAGTAAACAAAATATGCTTTAAAAATTAATTTCTTCAAGTAAGTTAATTTTATTGTTTTAAAAATACGTTAATCGTCTTGCTTATTTAACAAGGAGTCCAAAAATATATAATATTGCAATCGTATTATAAATAGAAACAAAAAAAAAGCGTCATTTCCGTTGAAAGTTCTAGAAGTTGAGAAATGTTGAATTCAGTAGAATTACAATAATTTAAATTCTAATTAAGATATGAATATGAAATTTTCAGAATATGTAATATTTGGTGTCCGAAAAAAAGTGATCAAACAATTTTTAAAAATTTTAATCCAGAAGCCCGGTACTGTACTCCAAAAATATGCTACTACTACAGTACTACTAAAACTACATATATGGTCAACAATCAAAACAAAGAAACCAAAACCAGACTATTAGAAACTATAAGCCTGTACTGCTTCATAACAGAAATGCAAGCAAAACCATGTAACGAGTGTGCTAAAGACAGTACTTACAAGTCAAAGGAAAAGAAGTTTTTGTATTTGAAACAAAAATGGTGATATGAAGTGTTATAATTAGAACAAACGTTTAGAAACGTTAAAAATTGAATGATTACAATAAAAACATTACAACCAGTTTGAGGACGTCGAGAACTAATTTGGCTCAATGCGCGTAATCTCTTGAACTAAATATTGCTAGTTCTTTGTACTTTACGGGAAAAAATCGTCCATTGCAATCTTCGAATGAATACGAATAATTTTAGAGATTTAATCCAGAATTTAAAAGGTATGAATGCTATATAATTTTTTGCTATAATGATTGTGACAACAATTGGAATTCGATCGAAACAATGAAAATTGGAATTCTTCAATGAAGAAAAAAAATGTATTGGTATGTATCTAGAGACTGCCCTAAACCTAAAGTCACAATTGCTTGTAGAAGTGTGGTGAGAAAGATCATACCCAAAGAAAGTGTACCAAGGAATCCAGAGATAGACATTTAACAACTTAACAGTTAATCCAGATATTATAGACTCAATTTTAAATGTAGTACCTGTAACTTATAAGACAACAGTTATAAATGGGCAAATAATTTGCAGAACAATAGACACCAGAAGCAGCAGTTGTCTCTTAAAGGAAAGTGTGACTAGTGAACTGAATTTGCAGTTAGGTTCAGATGACAATTATTCAGTTTTGGCAATGAATATACTCCAGTAGCTAGGGCTCTTGGGGAAACAGTTGTTGACATACAAATTGACAAAGTGATTGGGAAAAATATTACAGTGCTTATAGTTAATGACAATTCTCATCTGTAATATATTAGTAGGGAGAACACAGGCAAATTTACCCTATATAGCATACACTCCGATATAAGAAATCTCGTATTTTGGTTATGCAAACAAAAATGTTTTCTTTCAGATGCATAGTAGTTTTAATACACACCAGATTAAGTTAAAGGCAGAGAAAACAGCCAATGTCAAAAGCGATTACCGACGAGTTGGATAATGGCTTGATTTTAATATAGAGAACAGAAGAAAACTTAAACTGTGTCACAGAAGTAGCAAACAAGAGTATCATTTTGCCCATTATTTGTGCCGGAGATCTGAAAGTAACATTCAAGCAAGGTCAGTGTGTAGGTAGAGAAGCAAATGTTACAGAAGATAATATTTTTATACCCCTAAAGCCTAAAGCAGTGGACAAAGAGAAAGTTGCATTTAATAATGTAAAAGTTAAATCAAAAATTGAAATTTCCACAGAAGACAAAATTTGATAAATATACAAGTGACAACAACCGTCAAGCAATTACTACATTGATTAATAACTATACGAACCGTTTTGCATGTAGTCTAAGCAAACTCCAACAGATTTTACAGCAAAAAAACATAAAAAACCAAGATTAGTAAACCCGTAAGACAGTGACGTGCTGTGACAAATGATGATAGGAAAGCCGTACAGGCCCCGGATAGAATCATTGCAAGCGTTATGCGATATTTTGGCACGTAGAATACACCAGCTAAACCGCACGAGGTTAGTGCTCTGTAAAGCGCATACACGAATGCCTGTAATCCGGCTGCTTTACGCCATTCAAATATTTTTGCCGCGGAAGCCATCCCGCATTCAACGATACAGCACTTCCATTAAGAATATGCATATATAGATTTATATTCAAATATACAATAACAATCTTATCATTATTTTTCACACATATAGAAATTTGTAATAAAATATTAATTTTAAGTAATTCAAAGTACATTAAAATATGAAAATAATCGCACGATACGTATTTATATTTTAGAAAATACAAGGGAAGCGGTGCTGCCACAGCTTCCACTGACAGCACACCACTGCCTTACAGTCACATCAGTATAAAACTAGTGCAGCCGAAATTGCTATAAGAGATATCGTCAGAGGTGCAAAAATTAAGGCCGGCAATACCACCTCGGTTTCTCCACTCTCTCCAATCGTAACCACGCAACATTCAAAGCATCCGCCGTGCCTCTCTCCACTCCAAAAAAGTGCAAACATCGAAGGAACACAAAATAATTTATCGTCGTCCACCGACATTAACATCCAAGACCGTCACTCGCCACATTTATAAATATTTTCGGTATACCATATTTTCATTTATATTTCGTCAAAGTTTCCGGAACGTTCCAACTTCTTTTCATTCCTCTTTCTCGTCTCGTCAATCATTTACTAAAATCACGTACAAAACATCTCGGCCGACACTGCGCTCCGAAATCGAAAAATGCTCCGACACGAGCCGAAGAACAAGCGAATCTTTTAGAGACGGAGCCAATATTTGCAGAAATAAGAAAAGTTCGTAAAAAAATTATTTAACCACAAAACCAAGGACGCCGCAGACGAAAAAACAGCATTTGGAACGGCAAACCATTTCAAACGCAACATCGTCATCTCCGGAAGACGAATTCGTAGAAATAAAAACCCACAACCAAAATCATTTTTTTTAAATAACTAAAACAGAGGATTTAAACGAACAAAGAAAACATCGTACGGATCTGTTCAATTCTTAACGACGAAAATAGCGGTGGCATTGGCGGGAACGAACTCAAAAACTCGAGGCACGATGGGCGGAGTCAGCCGGGACACGATATTATCCGGGTCCGGATCCGCACCGGAAGGACTCGCGACTCGTCGTACGGCTACAGAACGAACTGTCGACGAGAAACGAGACTGGAAGCCACTTTCGTGTTCTCGCCATTCTGATTATTTTCTGAGCTACCGAACGTCTCGCGGTCCGATTCGTCGGCAATACGGAATAAGCCAAAACAACTCTCGCGTATCTCGGACGTATCGCGATCCGCGAACAATTGGGGAGACCGGACGAAAATAACAAAACTTCGGCCATCGGAGCACGAATTCCTCGGAAACGGAAAGAGGGGAACCGTTCCGCCCAAATCGGACGGTTACGTAAAATAAAGGAGAAAAACTCATACCATATTTTCGATGAGCGCGTCGGCGTTGGGATCCAAACAGCTGAGACGAGGAATGGGCTCCAGGGGGAAGTCGTAGCTTTTTAACTCCGTTTGGGGGGATGCCATCTTATTAGCCCGGGTGGCGTCTCCGTCCGACCGCGCCACAAAAATACGGCCCGGAACTTATCCGGAAAAAATATTCGACCGCCGGCGATTACCGCAGCCTCGGTCGATTGCCCGTATCCGTAGACCTAAACCATCCGTTTAAGACAAACTGAAGACCAGAGGACGACGTAAACGTAGGTGGGTCGGCGATAACCAAATAAACCTGTGACGACGAAGGAACTGCTAAAAAATATAAAATTCAAAAAATCGACCGAAGCCCTCAGTTAAACGACGGGTACATGGCGTGACGCCACTGGCGACGCCCGACGGAAAAAGTAGAATTACGAAAATCGACGGTTTTAAACGACGGTGATTACGCGGTGCAGACCACCGCCGAACGCAATTAAATTAAATTTGCAAAAACTTCCGACTTTCCGTACAAACGAAACGCGGAAATTGTCCGCCGCCTTTTTTATATTAGAAAATGGTGCGATCGATAGGCGGCGCGAGGAACCCGTCGGATCCAAGGTCTATACTGGCGGGTAATTACAGAACGATTCCATAGCCGTAGTTCCAGTTTTAACCACGAGATGACACTAGTGTAGTAACGGTCAGATCAATGTTGCCACGTCTACCAAATTTTTGGTAGATCTACCGATTTTTGGTCCGATCTACCGATTGAAGCACCAAATCTACGAAAAGTTGACGATAATTCAAAACAGAAATTTTTATTTTCAATGTATCTAAAAATTCTCAATAAAACATTTCTTTGTACCTTCAATTCTCATATATTGTAAAAGACCCTTTTGGCATTCGTAGCAAAGCACAACCTGCCTTTCTTGGTCATGGAGCATCTGCCGAAATTAATTATGAACATTTGTCCCGACTCAAAAATTTCTCTCAAGGATTGGCATGTAGCAGAACCAAAACAACAGCCATTGTGAGGTACGTTACTGTTAACGAAGGTTTTCTTCAGGTTTGTGAAGATTTACGAAATAAGAAAATTTTCCCTTATCGTGGATAAATCAATGGATTAAAGCAAAATAAAACACTTATGGTTAGTTGTAAGGTATTTAAAAGATAACGCTATTCGAGATAGTTTTTTTTTGGTTAAATTAAACGCTTCTGATGCAACTACCTTACATTGCTGAAATGTTTAACCACAATAATATTCACTACAAAAACAATTTAATAGGGTTTGCATCCGATGGAGCTAATGTTACGATGGGAATTATAATAGCGTCATTCTTTGATGACACTATTAAAAAGTAATGTATTTAATTTATATACAGTAGAGCGTCGATTTTCCGAAAGTCAATCATCCGAAACGTCAATCATCCGAAAGAATTCCAGTCGGCAATTTAAATTTTCGCTAGTGCTGTGGCGCTTCAATCTTTGGCTATGTCTTGAGCTACTCAAATATTTTACATTTTTTATACTAAATTAACATCTGAAGTATAATTTTTTATTATTTTTATGTTTTTCAATATATTTATTTTGTTTGTACAAAATAAAAAAATAATTCTTAACGATACAATAGTCTTTGTTAGGCTTAACATCGACGAAAATTCAACGCGAAGCGACACGCAACGGAGAAAAATTTCAACATCGGATACGTTAAACTATTTTTTCGTACATAAATCGGTTATCCGAAATATCAGTTATACGAACAACTCCAGTCCCCAATTGATTCGGAAAATCGACGCTCTACTGTATTATAAAATGTATATGCGATTCGTTTCACTTGTGCGTGTCACAAATTACCTAAATATGTCGAAGATCTCAGCCGCAAAATTTACAATTATTTTAATTCTATTCCAAAAAAAGTTTGTGAATTCAGCCAATTTCAGCAATTTTGCAATATTGACTCACAAAATTCTACATTCATCCCAAACCAGATGGCTTTTAGTTCATGGTGTGGTAATTCGAATCTTAAAACAGTACGCTGCTCTAAAACTATATTTTGCTGATGCTGTCAACAGTAATGACATCCTTGCTGTAAATAATATACTGCAGAAATTAAATGATTCAGTTTCAAAATTATTTCTAGAATTTTTGGATTATGTCTTGCCTCTATTCAATATATTAAATGTAGAAATGCAATCTGAAGTCCCCAAAATTGCATGTTTTGTATGATGATATTTGCCTCGTTTTGCATTGAACACTGCACCCAAATTACTGCTAGATTTCCTCCTAAAAACAATTCTATAAAAAAATTTAGTTTTTTGAATCCAACCGTTGTTAAAATGGGACTATACATACAATTACAGATGTTGCCTCGTTATTTCCTAATCTCATAACTGATCGCGAGCTTCAAAGTTTAGATTCCGAATGGAGACTATTAAGAAATAATCAAGAAGAAATACAGTCGTTTAGCAATGATGTGCAAGTTTTCTGGCGAAATACAGTAGACCCCCTATAACACGATAGATACGTTCCGTGTTATATGAATTCCGTGTTGTACGAGTCACTTAACTACCTGAGCCAATCACAGCCAGGCACGTGTGCAATTTAGCGGCTACGGCTGTTTGAAAGGTTTTCTTCCATAAAATTAATCGATTCTAGACTAATTTGACTCAACATTTTCAAATCACATATAATTTTTTGGGAATAATCCATATAAACTATGCTATAAACAAAAAATTTTAGGATTACTTACCGAGTGCGCGCCGTTGCTTAAGCTTGTTTTCGTCGCGGAGCGGCTCATCGAACGGAAGGCGCGTGTTTCCTGATAAATTATTTTTCTGCAAAAACTCTGCTAAACTTTGAAGACTACATTAATCTATATATATATATATATGGACATGTATGTCCCTATATTTCACTTTTCCGCCAAAACTACACATCGCACGTGAATGGTGTTTGTATGTGGTGTCCACATACAAACACCAAGTCTCCATTCGTGCACTATGGTGGTTGCGTCTCGATAGCTATAAGGGTGCGGGAGATATGGGGCTGAAAGTGGTTGAAAGTGGTTTTCTATTTCGAATGTTATGTTCGAATTTGTTCGAATTAAATTCGAACATAAAATTCGAATATTGGTTCGATTATAAAACGATTGTAAACGTTCCAGAAACGTTGAAAATAGTTCGTTTGACTGGACGTGAACAGGAGACGTTCAGAAATAGAATTGGGACCAGATCTCTAATCAGAAACGGGGGATCTAATTCTTGCATTCTGTGAAAACGGGTAAGATTGGCTATAATGTAATTATCTTAATTTTCACCATCGTTACTTTTTGCCCACAAATAAAAACACAGCGAAGCGGGTCCTTGCAGCTAGATTCTAGATTACTTAGAAAAACAGTCTTTTGTGAGAACCAGAAATTTTGCGTTTTAAACTAAAATTTTTTTTATAAACTTTATAAAGACGGAACGAGAAAATAGAAAATTAAACGAGAAAAAGGAAAAATAAAATCAATAAAAACTCGATTCCTACGAGTTGGGTTCCTTGTTGAGATGAGTACATTTCTGTGTCACGATTGTGTCACCCGTCCCCTCATTGGACCAAGAAGATCGTCATCGCTGACGAAATCGGAGAAAAGTTCGAAAAAGAGGACTCGATATAAAAGGGCCAGGCATGATGAGTAAGGGTGTGGAAGTTATTATTGGTGCCTGTGTGTGCGCTCCGAACGTCTACCACCCGCCGAGATTCCGTAAACCAACACCTCCTTCTCAACTACAAGACTAGAAGACCTCAACGAAAATTTTTCTGCTCACCTGAAAAGAACTGTTCACCTAAAAAGAACTGTTGGACCTTTTGTGCTGATTTTGGACTTGAGCTCCTACAACCTAAGGTATTTATCCTGCCCGTGCACTATTGTACGCTCTCTCTTCGAGTAAACAAAACGCGCACCCGGTCGTTAATTTGGACTAAAAATTGAATAATAACTCATGTAGTTTATGTTTGCATTTTATTCGCTGATGTAAACCTAATTTAGATTATATATAAATAAACGGTTTTTATGTTTAAACTTCTGGAGTGCAGTTTCTTCCGTTTTTCTCTCAGTTCTCCATTCCGGGTCCAACCCTCATACCTATCCGCTCGCGCGAATTTGTGGTCTCTGTATCGACCGAAGGATATAGTGGTGTCATCCTGACGAGGTATCGAAGAGATATCGACCCTATGGTCACACTTTTATATATATATAAAACTATATTACATACAAATGTACGAACAAATAAAAACCCAGCGAAGCGGGTCCTTGCAGCTAGAACATAATTTGAACTTAACTATTTGAAATCGACGTATACTTAGAAATCCGCCATAAAGGTTATACTTGTTTTTATTTTACCTTTCAATCTTAGAGTCAAATAGAAACAGAAAGTAACTAGTAAAATCTTAAGGGATTACTTTAAAAATTATTAAACTATCGGATAAATATCGCTTTATATTAACACTTCCTGGTCCCGATTCTATTTCTGAACGTCTCCTGTTCACGTCCAGTCAAACGAACTATTTTCAACGTTTCTGGAACGTTTACGATCGTTCTATAATTGAACCAATATTCGAATTTTATGTTTGAATTTAATTCGAATATTGTTCGAACAAATTCGGACAAAACATTCGAAATAGAAAGCCACTTTCAACCACTTTCAGCCTCATATCTCCCGCACCCTTATAGCTATCGAGACGCAACCACCCCTATGCACGAATGGAGACTTGGGGCTCCTACCATATACAAACACCATTCACGTGCGATGTGTAGTTTTGGCGAAAAAGTGAAATACAGTATAGGGACATACATGTATCATCTATTTTGCATTGTATTATAGTTTTTAATAAAATAAATGACGAAAAAAATGTTATTGTTTATGTGCGATTTTGTCGATTACGTGAACATTTGGAGGAAGTAATGCACCGGTCAGGGCCGGATTAACCCACTTTGGGGCCCTAGACATTTTCTTCTTCCGGGTCCCCTCCCGGCTCTTTCAATTAATAAAATCTTGTTACTATTATTTCTATTAAATTGCATATGGACAGCTGCTTTATAAAAAATAAAAGCAAAATTATTTAACAATATTTCACAGGATTTAAGAACACATATAGTTAATATTATTCTTATCACTATAAAGAATATTCTAAATTATTGGGAGTTTTACTTTCAATAAGAAGAAACATAAGAATACGAGGGTTGTTCAAAAAGTTCCCGAACTTTATTTATTAAAAAAAAAAATACTTCACATACAATTTATTTGTTGGGTCCCTTTCAAAGTAGTCTCCTCCGCAGCATATACACTTCCACTTTTTGAAACAGTCCTGGAACGCTTTTTCCGTAATACTCATAAGCTCCTCCGTCGTTTTTTTCTATCTCTGGAATGGTGGCAAATGTTTTTCCTTTGAGCGCGTTTTTAGTTTGTTGGAGAACAGGGAAAAGTCGCATGAGACCAGGTCGGGTGGGGAAGCACACAGCGGTCTTGTTTTTGGCCAAAAGCTCATGTGTTCTGAGGGACAAATGAGCCGGCGCGTTGTCGTGGTGAAAGAACCACTCGCCGCTCCTCCAAAGTTCGGGCTGTTTTCTCCTGATTTTGTCTCTTAGGCGATTCATAACACCAGGTAGTACTCCGTGTTGACTGTCTGGCCTGTAGGTAGGTATTCGTGATGCACAACCCCCTTTGCATCGAAAAAAAACAGTCAACATCACCTTAACATTTGAGCGAACTTGTCGAGCTTTTTGGGGCGGGAGGCTGTTTCACCCACCCGTGAA